GAGTGGTAATTATACTTCTTCCTGACAAAAGCCGTAAAAAGATTGTTACCTTGGCTGAGCTGAAGTTATTGATGTCCCAGTACCCCAAGGATTCCTCGCCGCCTGTCCGTACTGTGAAGTGAAAGAGCATTCTGCTGGGTTTGTTGTTACTATTATATTTTGTCGGCTTATACTGTTTCCGTCTTTTTGTAATAATATGGGGTATTCATCATGTTTTATATAATATTTTGCACACAAAATTGAAATACCTCCGTCAATTCACTTTTAATCGGAGCACCCATCAAGTGTCACTTTCTTTTTTCTTTTTTCTTTTTTTTTATTTGGCTCTGTTCGTTCAAAAATTACAGGCTAGGGTTATAAACCGTTCTGCCTCGTCCCAGGCTCACTTTCTTTTATATGAATGGAAAATGTATCTTAGAATAGTTTTGCAATACATATGGTATCATAATATTACCCTCACAGTGTATGTATCATTAGAGTAGAATTTCCTTTTAATGTTTCATTTTTCATTCATACCTATTTTAATTATTATTTTTAATAGTTCTAAGTAATTATTGTTTGTTTGTTGCTCTTAAATTTCAGTTTTTATTTTTGTAAGTTTGGAGTTACTCGTCTTGTCAACCTGTGCAGTGGGTTATTTGGAAATAGCGTATTTTTTTTTGTTTTGTTTTTTTTTCGTATTTTCTTTACATATTTATTTAGGTTTATATAACTATATATATATTTTTTTATTTTTTACAATGTTTATTGAAGATGATTATTTTTCTTGCTCTTCAGATGATTATATTAGCGCCCAAAGTCATAATACTTCACTTTCAGATTTTGAACCTTTGGAAGATAAACTTCACGATGTATTTGATAATTATAACAAATTCCTTTCCTTAGTGCACATCAACGCGCAGAGCATTCCTGCTCACTACAATGATTTTCTTACATCTTTTAGCGCCGGCATAGTTGATTGTATTCTTGTGTCGGAAACCTGGCTGAAACCTACTTTACCTTCTACTAGCTGTTCCATTCCGGGATATAAACTATTTCGTAATGACCGTGTCGGGTGTGGTGGAGGTGGTGTTGGCATTTACCTTCGTAGCCACATCATTGCTGATGTTGTTTGTTGCTCTCAGTCACTATACACGGGTTCCTTGGAACATTTATTTCTTTCAATTGTAGTTCACCACAAAAAAATCCTGCTTGGCGTTTTATATAGCCCTAATGATAAAACAGAATATTTTAACGTCTTGGAAAGTACTTTTGAAAACTTGGTCCCCCTTTTTGACCATGTCATTGTAATGGGTGACTTAAACACGTGTCTCCTCAAAAATGACAGTCGAGCCGTCAGGTTGGCAGCTTTGACGTCTGCGCTTGATCTCCAAGTGCTAAATACAAAGAAACCGACCCATTACTTTCCTAACTGTAGACCTTCCTTGCTAGATTTAATTATTGTCACTAACCCCAAACTGGTCATTTCGCATGGGCAGATGATTGCTCCCTTTTCACATCACGACTTAATTTATCTTTCTTACAAAGTGCGTCCACCTAAAGGTAGGGGAAAAGTCCTTCTTTTGCGAAATTTCAAGAATTTGAATCTGGATCGTTTGAGAGAAGATATGAGATGTATTGACTGGTCCGTATTGTTTTCGTCTGACAGTATTGACGTAATGGTTGATATCCTTAACACTGAGTTGGTGAAGGTTTATGACTCCCATGCTCCTGCTCGGCCTGTGCGTGTCAAACGTGCGCCGGCTCCTTGGCTTTCGCCTGAGATTAAAAGAGTTATGGCAATGCGTGATAAAGCCAAATGCCGTCTAAAACGTGAACCCTCTTCAGCAAATCTAGACGCGTATAAGAATTTACGCAATCTCAGCAATAGAATGTGTAGGGATGCCAAACGTCGCTACTTTCACTCTACCATACAAAATCTTTCCCAAGCTCAGGTGTGGAAATTTTTACATTCCGTAGGTGTTGGCAAGTCGTCCTTGGATGTTTGCCAAAACAACATAGATCTCGATGCCCTGAACTCCCACTTTTCCACGCCGCCCATCATCCTTAACTCTCGCACTAAATCGAATACTCTAACTTTTCTGTCTAATCTTGCGTTACCTGATTGTCCCCCTTTCACTTTTAGAGCGGTCACAGAGGATCTTGTAAAAAAGAGTATCCGCTCGATTTCCACTAAGGCCATTGGCAGTGACAATTTGAGCCTCGAAATGATTCTTCCCGTGCTGGAGGACATTGCGCCGGTTATTACTTACATCATAAATTTTTCTCTCTCGCGCTATGTCTTTCCAACTCAATGGAAAAAGGCTTTTGTCATACCTCTCCCTAAAATCCAGAATCCTACATCTTTTTCACAATACCGTCCTGTTTCCATTCTCCCCATTCTTTCTAAAGCCCTAGAATCCATTGTACATACACAACTTTATTCTCATCTTACCTCCTATAATCTTTTATGTCCGTTTCAGTCTGGCTTTCGTCCATCTCATAGCACTATTGGAGCATTACTGAACATTACGGAGGACATACGTCGTGCTATGGATGAAACGAAACTCACTGCCATTGCCCTCTTGGATTTCAGCAACGCTTTTAACTCTGTTGACTTCGACATTCTTCTTGGTGCCCTTCAGGCTGTTAATATCCCCTCTCCTATTATAAGTTGGTTCTCTTCGTATCTTTTCGGTCGCCAGCAGAGCGTGAAAATCAATGATGGCTCGTCATCTTGGTCTAACTTAACTGCTGGTGTGCCCCAGGGTGGCGTACTCTCTCCTTTACTCTTTTCTATTTTTATTAATAATATTTCCCGTGTCATTTCTTCTCCCTTCCATTTATATGCTGATGATCTTCAGCTTTATCGTAATTTTGAAGTGGGCGAGGTAGCGGAGGCAATTGCGTCTATTAACTGTGATTTGTCTGCCATTCAGTTATGGGCCAAGTCATTTGGCCTTTTGGTTAATCCAGCCAAGTCTCAAGCAATGATTGTGGGCAGTAGCAGATTGAGGTCCAAGTTGGACTGGTCTTTGGTACCTGCGCTGGTATATGACGGAGTTCCAATTGCATATACTGACAAGGCTAAAAATCTCGGGTTAGTAATGGACTGCACCTTGTCTTGGACTTCTCATGTCAATGAGGTCAGCAGACGAATGTACTTCTCATATCATTCTCTCAAACGTCTCCAATACTTTCTTCCTTTTCACACCAAAATTATGCTTGCGCAAACTCTTTTACTCCCTATTCTTGACTATGCCGACGTTTGTTACTTGGATGCGACCGAAAACCTTTTAAACAAACTAGAGCGTCTACAGAACCTGGCTATCAGATTTATTTTCGGTCTCCGAAAATTTGATCACGTTTCCGAATTTCGTGCTCGGTTAAAATGGCTCCCAATCCGCCTTCGCCGTGATGTGCATATCCTGTCCACCCTTTTTAATATACTTCATGACCCAAATTCTCCTTCCTACCTACGTTCCCGGTTCCAACTGCTTCCCCCTCCTAGCCGCTCAAGGCGTCCGTGCATCACTAAGATGCTCGTTCATCCTAGTTGTAAAACAAATTTCTTTTACAACTCCTTTTCCTCTCGTGCAGCGCAGCTGTGGAACAGACTCCCTTCCCATATTCAGTCTAGTCCGTCAATTGCTTCCTTCAAGAAAAGGTTGACAGCGCACTTTCTTGCTGAACTCTCTTAATAATCATCATATTTGTATATGTGTAAGTTTATTGATACAATGTATTATACGTTATGTAGTCTATTTATTTATATACTATTTTAATTATTTAACGGTAATTTTATATATGCATATTTTACACATGTAGATTATCATCTTTTGTTATCTCTTTTGCACGCCGTTCCCCGCTTAAAACCTTTGCTCTCACTGCCTTGGGTTGGCTGGAAGAGATCTCTTTTAGAGATAAGTCCACCTTTGCTCACCTTATGTTATTTTTTTGTTTCTGTTTATTTGTTTGGTGCAATAAAGAATATATATATAGCCAATTGTCAATAAATAAATACTATTGAGCGTTTTTTGAATATTTTAACTTTGCACTTTCGGATATAAATAAAAATATTTAAATAGATCGCTCTAACCGGTGATAATTATATGGTGTAACAAAAGAAAGCTACCTATCACGAATGTTATTGCAACTTTTAAATGGATTTTTAATCATTTTAATAACTTTATTGACTTATCGAGTTCTTAGGTTTCCGCGGTTGTTACACATAGGAAATGAAACTATTTTTCCGGATTTAAATCGCGTATATTTGTTTTTTCAAACAAACCCACGTTTCGGGCCCTTTACAGGTCCCATGGACACGGTTTTTCAGTCAACCGTGACCATTATTGTACGTGACTATTTATTGACTTAGTGAAAAACGTAAAATAGCTTTTAAATAATGCCAAATTTAACTTTGATGAAATCAATGATAATATACGAATGCAAGACACGTTCCAATTATGTTATCAAATTACAAACTCACCTTATTCATTTCAATGATAATGGCTAGACATGACATGTAAATTTGTCGTATGACAAATTGTAAAGTAAGACTGAGATGAGAAAAGTTGCCGATATTACAAAACAAAATTAATAAAAAATATAAATATTCTCATTTTGAACGCAATCGATTAATAGTGTTTGAACACTCCCAGGTTACTACATCTGTCTATTTCTTTCATATGATTTAGTACGTAGTTCCAACTCGCTCTTGTTAGAAGTCAGCTAGCCAGCCAGAGACAATAATTAAGGTTTAAAAAGTAAAACTCATCATCCTGTCATGCCATTCCCTTTCAACTTTGTGTAGGTCATGATACGAATTTAAGCAACGCAAATAAAGCAGTTTTACCACGTCAAGTGAATTGCATGAAACTTGGCTGGTTGCTTATAAGCTCATAGTAGGCTCCAGGCTGCAAAAGATAATTTGAAAAAAAAAAAAAAAGATATTCAGAACAGTGTTCGTGTTCTATATTGAATAACTTCTATCAAATACAGTGCTTATATATTGATCATTTTATAGCAACACCGTGATTAGAGTTTCGAATGGGTGTATGATCATGAAATATAAACGAAATTCGAATTTGTACAATATGTAGTACGATACGTTTTGTGTGTTTACAACACTGAGCGAACGCTTTAATTTTATAATAAAAAGTGCGAACTATCGCGCCGTGCACCCCGAGATTATGCGAATGTTGTTTTGTAGCAGTAGAGCTCTTTGAGAAAGAGTTCATCCAGGGAAGTACTGCGACCTTATTTATATCTGCCACCAAGCAGCATTCATGCTGGTGAAATTACAGGCGCATGAGACATATCAACTTATGTCTCAAGGTGACGGACACAGTGGTAGTGTCACTCAGAACTTTGCGATTAAAAACACTGGAACTCCTATGAACAGGCGTGTCATTTACCACCGAGCCACGACTTGTACGTCACGTCTCTGGGTATCATAAAAAAATGTGTGCATCCGTCCACCGTACATCTAATTAACTGCGTCTCGATAATCCTGTGTCTCCAATTTTCGTTAACAAAACTTTTGTAAAGCGTCTGACACTCAAATATCTTTCCCTTTCTGTTCTCTATTGTCTTTAATAAGCTTTTCTTTTCCTGCACTATTCTTAAGACCTCTTCATTGATGTTTCTTTTTGTTTTATTGATTCCTTCCATTCTTCTCCAACACTACATCTCAAATGCTTCCAATCTCTTTCTGTATCATTGTCCAGGTCTCACTACCATATTATTTAGTTCATATCCAAATCAGGATGAAATTTCATTCATATGGAGTGCGCACACAGGATTAAGTTATTATTGCTCAAAATATAGGCAAAACAAATTCATTGCTACTTTGCCGTTCATAATAATGTATGTTATAATAATTTGGGGCATGATGAGGGTATGACACGAGTTAGTTTAGTCTTAATTACCGTCGTAATTAATGTTGAACTCGCTGACTACCGCTTTATAATATGAAACTGAGTTAACTTTTAATTTGATTCCTATTTTTTACCGGACTATGACACAGCTAAACTTACAATTTCGTTATTTAACTTAGTGGTTGCGCCCTTTGTGCACTTTCATCTTGGAATCGTATTT